TGCATCAAATACGAGTTTATGTGCTGAATTTATTTAACGGGTACCTAATTTTTGAGTGAAAGTACTCAGTTTTAGTTCAAATAATTATCACAAATCTAAAATTATTAAAATGCTCACTCGGCACCTTTATTGCTTATTGCTTTCACTTACACCGATTTTTTTATAGTGTAACTTGAGGATTTTCCATGTTATGTCTGTTTCGAAAATTATTTATTGTATTATGAATCCGTTATCATGTTGGTTTTGCTGTAAAAGCTATTCACAGAACTGGATTTTTTTAGGATGGTCTTTAAGCACTAACGCATGAATTTGCTTCACATGATATGGATTCAGTTGATTTTCACACAAACTAGTCTACACTGTATGAGATGGCTTGATTTGCTCCGCAATGTCTGATACTACTAGTAATTGTTGGAACCTCTTCAGCAATATCTAGAACAACTTTGACCTAAAAAATTGTAGATGGCCTAGGTTTTCCAGTATATCAATCGCTATTTTCCTGTAGGCGACATATTTTTCGAGCCCTCTGAGCAAAATTGCAAAGGAAAACTATAGGTGTATTGCGATGCTATGGCAACGCAACAATTTAGTGAAACCATTTACTATTAACACATCAATTAATTTATCATTACTGCAATTTTAACAGTGAAATTGCATAAGGTGTTCCGTTTATACTTAAAATTACATTTTTCTCATTAAAAAGGATATCCGCCTTTAAACACTCTGGCTGATTTGAAAGATACCAAAATTTGTTCACGCATAAAAATTAACTGTTTTAAGAAAAGAATGCAAACCATTTTATTCCCAATAGCAGTGGCGTAGATGCAGATAGTTTGAGAGATATAATTAAAGTAAGAATGTGCTAAAAATCAAGACTTCTTGTTCATCGTAACGACATAACAAATTCCGAAGGATAATATAAAAAAGATAAAGCATATATATTTTGTCGAGAAAAATGAAGGTAAAGTTCTTTACTACTACTCGTACAAGTCCAGAAACTGCGACAATATTATCAATATAGTTAGTAGCAGTATAAAATCTTGCACAAGTTTGTCCCATTTCAATGAAACATGAATAGACTGAACATATGTCAAATTATGTGGCTGAAATGAATGACAGAAAATACATAACTTTTATCAAAGGCCTATTGATAAAGCTGCTCTTAACATTGGTTTGGTTTTTAGACTCCGTGAATAATTATATTTTGGAAAGAAGATAAACGATATAAGCTTCAGTTGAAATTGGTGTATCTATCATGGAAAAGACGATACTTTCAGAAATTTGATGACATTTTTAATGTTCTACATTTATTGCAAAACCGTTTTTTTCAGACTCCAGTTTTTTACAATATTAAAAAAATTTACAATGGACATTCAACCCTTCTCACACACACATACAAACTGATATGATAAACTTTTTAAAATGAGGCGCTAGAAATAGCTCTCGATGGTGTTTTCATTTAGTGGTCATCGTCTTTTAAGCAGTTTAATTCAAAGCCCTTTTGTTTGAAACAAGACAAGCTCTGGTTACAGGACAAAACAAAAGAAAATTTTTAAACTTGATACAGTGAAGGCTCCTGTCAGATGATACGAATAGAGGAACAATCTGTTTGTCCGCAAAGGCGAGCCTCGCTCTTTTTGAATCAGTTTAGTTATTTGATACGTTGGAAACTCGACTAAGCGTCGGCTTTTGTAATCTCGTTAATGAAAAAAAACGCAAGTTAGCTCATTTTTCACTGCCGGAAAGGATTGTTTGTGACCACACAGTTCATAAAAGACCGACTTGAGTGGTGATTCACATTCTGAGTTGTAAAAATTTCAGAAATATGATATTTAACTGCACGCTATACGCAAATTGTACTACAGTTACTCTCGTCGGATATAGGTAGTACTTTATTTACTCTTACCTCCTTCGGGTAAGTTGTCGATTGATTTACAGTTGTTTAGTCAGGGAGACAACTTAGATATTTACGTTCCTTTAAAAGGTAAGTAAGAACATGTACCCATTCCTACATTTTCAGTTCGTGTTTTCATAGATGGACTGCGGAAATCAGCTGTTTCACTTCAATATTCGAACATTCTATAGTCCGTCGGCGCTTATTAATTTTACTTATTAATTTTTTAAAAGGACGAACAATTTTTTTTCGATTTTCTGTTTTTATTAGGCCTTCCGAATACGTGGTTAAAATTAATGACATTATTATGACTGAATTACCCTGTACTAATTTGATAGCGAAATATATGAAAATTGTGACGAAAATGATCATAGTTCTATTTAAAACAACAGACTTCAGGGTAAAAAAAATAGTGATCCCAAAATTGTCACAAAATTAAAACTTGCAAAATTCCTAACTCATCTGTGTTTGAATTGTTGAATAAATTTTAAAATATATCTGAATTTGTCATGCAACTTCTTAAAAAGCGTGAAGTAATAACTGGTTCTCAGGGACCAAAGCTACATTATAACGATTAACTAACTGTATGATTTCAGGTCTTTTTAATTATGTAGTGAGACTATAGTTATCATACGTCGTCGGTTGAAACATCTTGACGTGTCGAGACTAACCGCTCTGAATAGAGTCTCTTCTGAAGAAGAGCGCAATATGTTTCTTGAAACGTCAAGAATTCTAAACCCACGATGTAGCAACTAATGCAATTTGTCAGCAATCTTTGACAATTGTCACAAAAGCCCACAAGACCCCCACCAAGTGATATTACAGATGGTGATAAATATATTGTTATTGAGATACAGGGCGCAATACATATATTTGTATATTAATTTAACTATATCGTATCAGATCATATGCTTGGATGCTGCATATTAGGTGAAATTTGTGTGTAAACTCATTTTCCCAGTATATTTAGCATATTTACGGCAGTACATAACACGTATAACTTAATGGAACATGCAGATTATTTATTGTTATTGTCTCACATCATTAAGCTTTTAGTCAGGAATGCACCACTTCTTTAATTTATCCTCGTCATCATGTCATCAAATCTTTGTCATGACAAATAGATAGTGTAAGATTTTTATGAAGGAAAATAATGCCTTTAAATGGGAGTCTTCTGCCATAGCTTTGTATTACTTCAACATTTCCAAAAGTGAGAATAAGTATTCATTATTACGTCCACTGTCTGATAGTGTTCCAAAATAGGTCGATCGGCAACCCAGGAAAGGATGAACAACTCAGTGGAAGATAAGTCACTTCTTAATTGGAGGTGTGTCAACATGGCATGAAGTTGTCTATTGCATCGGGTCAAAACCTTATCTAACCAAATATCTTGCTTTCTTGCCAGTTTAAATACTAACATGGAATACTGTGAATTTGCTGTTACTTTTTTATCGACATATCCTCTTGTAACAGTTGCTTAAGGTATAAATATAAGTCGTTCTGTATTTCACAAATGGTATCGTTAAAGAACGCGCGAAGCAAGTGTGTTAAGAGTTCTGTGAGTGCAATAAAGACACTTTTTACATATTATTTTCGATCGTGCAAATTCTCGTAAGAAATAGTCAATTCTTCGTGAATACAGGGTGATTCAGAACTTATCAAAAAAAAATTCTGGATGTACAGGGGACCCTTACAAATACAATTTTGTAAAGAAAAAATCAAAAAGGTCAGTTCGAAATTGATTTAAAAATACACTTCTGCATGGCACTGGAAACTGGTCCACTGTAAAACCTGACCTCGCACAATGACACCGGTATGGCGGCGTGATAAAAACGGACAAAACTTTCGCAAGGAAAGAAATATGTAAATAGAATTTTATCGCACCTATTATATATCGGCAAATTCAAATGCTTTTGCCTTTATTAATTATTAATAAAATTAATTTGTGTTTTTAAATAATAAAATCATTTGACATACCCGATGCCTGCAACAGCAGTTGTTCAAAATTGTATCCACTCACGTGTAAACACATTTGGGTCCGTCTTACTCACTTTCTACGAACTAACACAAATGATGTCTTGTTTCACCATAACACAAACGCTTCACCATAAATTAAAATGATATCCATCAACTCCGAGTACACGCAAACCGCTAAATAGTGGTTTAATGTGCTATAACTTCAATATTTTTTTTCTCAGAAACTATAAGGATTTTACAATTTTTTTTTACAATATTGACTCCATTTCTCATGCCGCATCTATTACCAAATTTTTTTGGATAAGTTGTGAATCACCCTGTATAGTTACTCTGGAAGTTAGTCATAATGGCACAAATGAAAGACATTGTAAATAAACTGCTTTAGTTGAAAGACGAAACAAAAAATTTGTTAAGGAAACGCCTAATAAAAAATAATACATATTAAATTCCTAAGAACGAGTTTCTTAAAATGAGAGTTGTTGATGAGGAAGATGTTGGAAATGTAATAGTTAAAATTCCAACGTTGAAAACTCGACTTTTATTGATAGCAAAACGAGAGTACAGAATAATATGGTTGAACTTTACACAAAGTGCATCATACCTGGGTCACCAGTCGACTTTATCCTGTCTACAGCCGATACGTATCAATACTTTTGGAAAAACATCAAGCGTTAGATATCTTGAATTATCCAATTCAGAGGATATAGAGAGAATATTTTAGATGGTTCTATGCAACCGTGCTTGTAGAAATGAAGATTGAAAATTACGATATCAAATAAAATGTTGTGCAGAGAGCCAGTTAAGGAAGCAACATCAAATGATGCTATTCATAGTACTGTATACATTGAAGAGTTATGAGTTAACTAGAATTCATACTGAAAATTATGTTAATTTATATTAACTACTACTACTTTATAGTAGATAATCTTTTAACTGAAACCGTACAACAGAAGCATGCGTTTTACAAACTCATATAAAAGCCAACTTTTTACACTGAACTTAAAAAAAAATTGTCACCTGACAAGAACGTACCTACTTTTTCCAATTATGTTTACCTTTAAATTACATAATCCACCAAATTACTGTTTTTATTATTTTTTTGTAAAAAAGTAAAATTGCGAATACTCACTTGATCAGGTCTCAGTCCAGGTGGTACCCAAGTGTACTCCTCCAGGGCGCATCCGGAGTCGTCGTCGCTCTGAGAATGCCGCTGGGGGTCCCCCGTTGAAGGAGCGAAAGGGGAACCTTTCCCAAGAAACCTATCAGCTGGATCCAGAGACGGTAGTTTTCCTCCCGGAGATGGCAAGGCGGGTGGCGACATGGGGCCGAGGCCCCCTTCGTTGCTGGACATGCTGTTGTCTGGACAAGGGCAGTTCCGACACACGGCCCTGGAAAATACCGTAAAAATGTAGGGTTATGTGATACATAAAAGTACAATAAACAATTTAGTCTAATTTGTCTACATACAAACGCCTACTGAGATATACAGTGTGTTGAAACGTTGTCTAAAATTAATGATAATAATAATCAATTGATAAAACTTAACGAGAATATCTGAATTGTATCCTACATAAAAAGAGCGTAGTAAATCGTTGTGGTCGTAGATAGTGCGGCGTCCTCTTATTTGTCCATTTTTTTTAGTTGTAAACATAAAAAGTGTTTGTTCAATTTTAGGTTATCATTAGTTTTTATAATAAAGACGTGTATCATTTAATAAATTTTAAGCATCTGGTTTCCTACATTTAACTGTGTCTGCGTGTGTATGTTAATAAACGCATAATAAAAAATGGTTCATTAAAGCAGTAACAATGAATTAATGAACATCTGGAATCTGGAATTGTAGGGGGGTAGCTTAGAAGCTACAGCACTTAGAGCTCATTGGGGCCTCTTGTGCTGTGCTTCCTCTCTACGAGATATCAGTTCTTTTGGGCCATCAACCAACCTTTTAAAGAGAAAAAAGGCGATGACGTTGCTCAGCGGGATCTCTCTAATCTAGGCCATAGAAGGTCATTGTTCTCCCAACACGAATTCTCTTGTTGATGAGACGAGCACATGTAGTACTTACTGTCTCGTCTTCCTGTTCACAACCGCTACAAAGAGGTGTTTCACACCTCGTCGTGTGGTGAGGGTGTTTCCTTAGCCAACAGTGTCCAGTTTGAATAGCATTCCTTAGCAAATTGACAGCTAATTCTTTCATCCCAGTTTCATTGTAGGTGTTTTTCTTGACAATTTCAGCAAGTCCAATGCACTCCTGGCTAGCTTGTCAGCTTCTTTATTCCCACTGCATTGCTCGTGTCCCTTGATCCAGTATATACATATGCTGTTGGAAACTAAGGCCATGACCAGTGCCTGGTGGCACTCCTTTACTGACTTAGTCATTATCTTATGATTATGTAAGATCGGTAGGTAGTGCTTGTATACTGTCTGTGTAGATTCTAATGGTTTTACCCATAGTGCACCTACAGACAATTCTTTAGCGACTATGGTTTTACCTGCTAATTCCGTTTGCACCACGGTAGTATGCCCATCCATTGCCCACTCATATTGGATATGCCCATTTCCTCCTTCCTTTTTGATCCGTCTGTGAAGACGTTAATCGCCGGAGGTCTCTTTCTGTCTCCTGACGAGTACTGTGTACGGTTTGTCGAACGCAAACTGCGGAAAAATACTGTCAGTGTCTACCTGCAGAAGGGGTATGTTCCGGACGACCCCATTCTATAGGCGACTCTTAACTTATCCATATCCTACATCCAGTTTCAGACCAACGTTCTTGAGGCGAAGCATGGTTGTCAAGGCCACTTCTCATAGATAGATATCCAGAGGTGTCAGAGACAGCATTACCTCCATTGCTATGGTTAGTGTTGTTCGCATAGTTCCAGTTATGCTCGGATAGGCAATCCTTTGTACCTGGCTGAGCATTTGTTTAGCTGTCGTCTGCTGGACTTTCGGCTATCAAACACAACCTTGTAGGTTAAAATTGGTCTCACAATGGCAGTGTCAAAATGATCACTTTTAGTTTCATTCCCTAGGTTTTACCAACAGTCCTGCGGCACTGCTCATAGGATATGTACGCCTTTTTTCGTTTCCCTTCAAAATGAAGATTCAATGTTAGCTTTGCATCGAGTATGACTCCTAGGTATTTCACGTCCGATGCAAAGCTTAACGTAGTGTTTAGGAGAGTTGGTGCCTTTAATGGACATAGTGGTAACGTGGAGCCGACGACAGTGAAACTTTAAGTTTACTGCACATTTTTACGTACAGCGACTTGTGTGCCGAGCTATCGAAGGCGTCAGAGGTTCCAAAAGTGTTTCTTAATTTTATTGTGGAAAGTCAGTAGGTATAAAAAATTGTGTTCTAATTTGAAAAAAATATTTTTACCAATTGAGTTTTCCTATCTCGATTTATTTACTCTTCAAGTGTCCTCCTCAAAGAACCCCGCACAAAACCAATGGAAAAAGATTTCCGTCAAATTGTTTGAAATTGTGGGATCAAGTAGGTGATATGATGTAGACCAAAAGTCCCCATGGGTCCGACCTCCGCCGACGCACGCACGAACCAACACACATGGGGTCAAACATCTGTCACGACCACGCCGTTGACCCTGGATAACGCTAAGTGCAGATTTGGCTATACTGAGCGACTTTCAGCTTATGTAACTCCGAAACCGTGCATAGGCGGAGGTCGGGTCCATGGGGACTTTTGCCCTACATCATATCACCTTCTTGATTCCACAGTTGCAAACAATTTGACGTAAAGTCTTTTTCCATTGGTTTTGTGCGGGGTCGTTTGCTAAACACCCTGTATAGTCCACTAAATGTGGTACCATCAAATAACGTATTCTAATGCAACTTTAAAATGATTTAGGTTAAAAACTCCTCCCTTAGTACACATGTTTGCTTATTGGAGTGTAATATAACCTTAAATATGTAAGAAATAACAGTATCCGATGTAATTTTTTTGGGATTTCTACTTCCTTGACTACCCCATAATTTCTTCTCTCTAATTACAATTCATCTAGAATACTTTAGAAAACGATATTGTATTAGAACATGAAATTAAATAGCCATTAGCGTATGCAGAAACCCTTAAATAAGGAGTCTCTACCTAAACTAGTTTTAGTGATATTAAAAAAATGTTGTTGTGATACCAACTTTTTATCTTATTTTTTGGTGAAGATATCGCTCAGGGGCAACAGTACATGTTTATTGAAACGCCCTGTAAAGTATCTTTTCCGAAATGAAGTCTATATGCCCTATAATAATTATAGACAGAGAAATTGCAGTTCACTCCGTATATTTTTGTAATGATACTTCTACAGTATTTTTTTCATTTGTAATCAAATATCAATACCTAGTTGATTTAACGTCTAAATTTATATGAATTTATTTATATCATATTAATTGTCAAATATAAATAAGAAACTTCGGAATGTGCTGTTCCTAAAAAATTTCTAAAAATTAGTTTCCATTAAATTACTACACAAAAGTGGTCATCACAATAGAAAAATGTCAGTTATAAATTGATTTGGTGAATATTCCTACAATAACCACTACGCACAACTAATGACCTTTTAGGAATTTTTTTGTGGAAATTTATACTTATACTTTATATACAAAAACTAGTTAGAAGTAGTTTGTTATAAATTAGTTTTTTTTATTGTTAAAATTGGTCTTATTTTATTTTCTATAAAAAGTTAATGAATACGTAATTTAATTTTTTTCTGTAAAAATATATTAAAAGATTATAATACTCGTAACATAAGATTCCATAGCAGGTTTTATATTCGACAGCAATCGTTTCTTATATTATGAATTAAACAATAAAATGAGGTGTTAAAATTGTCACAGAACTGTTCAACTGTTTAATTTCTATTTTAATTCCACATGTACATTGGTCAGACTGTTATATAATTCAAGGAAGACTATTGCCCCAAAGTGACCTAATAGATGTCTTCCGTTGGCATATAACTGCTTAGTGTACTATTATTTTTTGCACGTTCTCACGTAATGACTGATGTAATGACGTTAATTAACTAAATTGATCAAAATTTGACCTCTACGTACCAGAAATATGAAATATTAAAAATTACAGGTAGTACCAAACTTCACCTTTTTTTGTATTTTTAATCCTTCACTATACCTTTACGCTGCTTACTTGGTTTTTCTAGTTATTAACTGTTGCTAAATAAAATAAAACAAAAGAAAAACACTGAAAAACCTTAACTGTATTTTTTACAAATCGATGTTTTTAATACCTATTGACTTACCACATTGATAAGTTGAAAACTTTTTTGGAACCGCTGATCTCACCGGCAACTCTGCTTCTGTTTAGAAGTGTTCATTCATGGTTATTTGGAAATCATTGGAAATAAACGTGTAGTTTTTATCAGCATTTCCATGTTTAATAATTCATTATTACTGATGGCCCATTTTAATATGGTTATTGGTACTTTGTACACACACCATAGGCACATCACACACGTTTCCTTAATAAAAACTAAAGTAAAACTGACAATTACCTCAATTTTTCTATTTGCTACAAAAAGCGGACGGCAAGCCATTTGAGGCCGAAAATATTCACCTTCTTTATGTAGTATATAACATAAATATATTAACATAATCGGAAACGATTCCAGAGGTTCTCAATAAGTTTTAACAATTTCGATTACACCGGCACACAAAAAAACTTGAAAAAGCGCCCTGTATATCTTACAAGCAACATTTTTCGTAATTTGTTTATTTTATGTCGGCCTATTTCTGCTACTACGGCTAATCGCCTACGCCAGGGGATAGTCAGTTTCCTGAATCCTGAATCACTATCAATGTCTGCGGGTAAATTACGAAAATAATTAATTATGCTAAAGATGACATCAAAACCAAAAAACCACAATAACAAAAGAGTGATGCGATTTGGCCACATAGTACACAATAGCAATCATAAATATATTTCAGTAGAAACGTTACCACATATAATTTTCAAGAAAGTAAAGTAAAAGTCTGTTATCGCTTCCTTCTCATAATTCAGAAATCCTGTCATCATTGTAACAGTGATTTCAGCTGAAACGAAACCGACTAATAGGTAGTACAAAATGCGTTGATCATTATAAATTGACCTTCATCCGCCTTCATTAATTGTGACGCTTCTAATGCAGAATTTATTTTAAGCAGTTTTGTGTTCGTAATGTGATGTAGCTAAACTATGATTGCACCGTGATGTTGCGTTCTTTTCAGAAATATGAATAAAGCAGACGGTTGTCAGACAGAAGTATGGCTGATTTAAGGGCGGTGCAAAATATAGCACTGAGTGAAAGAAAGAATGTGCTGTATGTGATAATAATATTAATATCGGTGTGTGTCTTGGCGACCATTATAATTGTCTGGAAACTGAATAGTTTTGAGGCAGGTAAGTAAAGTCTGCAGCAATATTTTCGCATTGTGTAATTCTCTAGTTCTTAATTCAGAGTTTGTAGTTATAGTCTTATAGCTTAAATTGACATTATCTTACTATTTTATTGATTCCTCGAACATTACATTTTAAAGCGATGCAACATAAATACGAACCATGCATAAAATTTAAATTACCGTGTATGATAAAATAGAGTATCACAAAAATTAGGCAGTGAAATATGAATATTGGTGGATATTATTTTGAAAACTTTTGTGAACATTAAGATAAAAAATTTGAATGTTTACTTTCATTCTTTAAATTCGTTACTTTTACTATCACAGTTGTCTAGCCAACTAAACTGGTTATAACAAAAAAAGTTATAGGCATTCAAAGAAATGATTTTGTTTGATAACATATTTCAATGAAATATGTGCCTCCGTTTAATCATATTGTTTTAATAGAAGCAGGATAATCCAAACCATAAAATATTGAGTCTAGCAAAACAGTTACCTCTAATTAGACTAGAACACCTCCAAATACTCATAACCGGTAACGATAGTAGAAAATAAAAATAAATTTTTCTCAGGGACTATTTAGGTACTTAATTTAAAGATTGTAACACATATACAGGGTGAGTCCTTAATAATGGTACACAGCTCAATGGCAGATTGTTAACGTCAAAATATAGCGATTGAGCCAAATATGCCTTAATCAATTGTTGCTCCTGTTAAAATTGAAAAAATATATTCGATGTTTTGCTATATTTTAATGTATGTACCGATTGTTTTAAAAATTTGTAGTTTTACGTTTTTTGAGGTGGCAAATACGAATATGCAAATAGTGTTGGGGTAACATCTAGGGGGTTCTAGTTTTGTACTGTCCTGTCAATGTAAAAATATGTCAAAGTTTTTATGTTTCACAATTTTGAAATTTTTAACTAAAAATTATTGAACTACGTTCAATTCTAAATGAAAGAGGTATACTTGTTACAAATCGATAAACTCAGCTGTTTTCGAGATACAGACGTTTTAAGTTTTTGAGATTCAACGGGAATTAAATTATTTTTCCAAAGTAGTAGGTATTGACATAATAAATTGACAGCTGTCACTACAATACCATATTGTTTCTGCCAATTCTACTCAATTTGATTAGGAAGTAGTTGTGTTCTTGTTATTTTTGGAGAAGAGAATATCTTAATAGAAATTTCTTGCACCGTTGGATTGGATGCGGTAGCGAAGTACTTTGGACTGCACGTAGCCCTGATTTAAATCCGCTGGATTTTTACTTTCGGGGATATCTTAAATCTTTAGTTTACAAAAACATTACTAATGGCCATGAACAACTGTGGACAAATATTCAAGAATCAGTTCATATTATCAAACAACATAGGACTTTATTTAACGTCAGGCAAAAAATAAGACACTAAGAAAGTGCACTGAAGTCGCTGGTGGTTAATAATTTGTTAAGATATGCATAATAATATTTTCAGTTGCTGTAATGTTTGTCTTAATTCTTAATTCAGGATTGGTATTTTAAGGTCTGCTAATTTTCTAATTTAATTCCCGCCGAATATCTAAAACTTAAAACGTCTGTATCTCGAAAACGGTTTAGTTTATCGATTTATAACTAGTATACCTTTTTAGAATACCTTTTAGAATTGAACGTAGTTCAATAATTTGCAGTTAAAAAATTCAAAATTGTAAAATACAAAAAGTTATAGAGATTTTTACATTGATAGGACAGTATAACTAGCGCCCTCTAGACGTTACCCCAAACTGTTTGCATATTCGTATTTGCCACCTCAAAAAACGTAAAACTACAAGTTTTCAAAACAATCGGTCCATACATACTTAAAATAAGATAAAAATAGGAAATATTTTTTCAATTTTAACACTCTGTAAAACGAAAAGGAGCAACAATTGATTAAGGCATGTTTGGCTCAATCACTATATTTTGACGTTAACAATCTGCCATTAAGCTGTGTACCATTATTAATGACTCACTCTGTAAGGCCAGCATTTTGTCAGAATCTCTACCAACAGAAAACATAGAAATAACAAAATACTGTTTAAGTGGGTAGATAAAAAATAAGCTTATATTTAAAATAAAATCCGATATATCAGTGTCATTGACATATCTTAAAGAGTGACGGAAGAACTAAAAAACAAATTCTTTGAAGGTCAGAAATTTCAATATTTTACAAAAGACACTTCATCTTTATCGATTTAGTTTCACCCAAAAAAAAACTATCCTTGAAGCAAAGCCTGTGATTTACCAGATACTCCTTTCATTAATGGTATAGTAATACATAGGAGGTTTTTTTATAAGAAAAACATTTTATTTCAGACGAGGTATTGCTGAGATATTTTTTAAAATTTAAAATTAGCCTTCGGCAAAGTTAAATAAATTGAAAATACTCATCTTCCAAAAAGATGTATAGTATTTTTTTTGTTAGAAATACTTTTTCTTTTAATTTTCTGAGATTTAACAATTTTCTAAAAAATTTAAAATTGGAACGCGAACAATTTTCTTGACTTCTGATTACGTTATATTTAAAATTGCATTTCTAGCAAAAGACATATACTTTTTTTGTGAAAAGAATTGTTTTAGTTATTTCCGATTTATTCAACTATGTCAAAGTTCATTTTTAATTTTTAAAATAACAACAATGTAAGAGTTCGGAAACTCGAAAATGACAGTGTCCTCCAGTAACAGCACTACTGGTTGACATTTTTATAAATTAATTAAATGATGTGTCCATCATAATTAATTAAGTCGTTAGGTCAAGTTTCATCAATTTACGAATAAATGATAATTTCTACACACTGTATGTCGAAAACGATCTTTATTTGAACTTTTTCCCTTAGAGTTTTCCGTTTATTTTTGTGAAACTACTAAGTAACAATAGTCTGAAATAAATCAGTTAATATGTGATATCAGTTAATTGTCTAATAAATTAGATATAATTGAAACAGAAGGAACATAATAAACAAAAAATGTTAATGAACAGTTTTCTAAAATTGATTTCCTATTTAAATATTAAGGCATCACCAACAAACTAACACGTATAGCCAGTATAAACATGTAATTTAGTAGAAGTTACTACTGGTTTATAAATCATTTATCTTGGTCATTAGTTTCTTTTTATACTGGAATTAATTAATAGAAACCTGACACTTGATTCTTTAAATGATTTTTTATATTATAAAACGATTTATAATCAATTTACATACATGGCTAAATTTAGAATATTTATAATAGGAAACGAGTAACATACAATAAATACTCTGAATTTTTTAACGCTAGTTGATGAGATGAGATGATGAGAACCAAACTGTACCGGATCAACAACACGTCTTTCTTCCTGGACGATCCAACATGTTATGCATAAATGACTTGATCATGGCAGTTGACGGAATGTACCTAAATTAAACTGTATATCTGGATTTTATCAAGCATTTGATAAAGTACCTTTGATGAAGCACTTAAAAAAATTGCATCATCATAGAATAAATGGTTTTCTTGCATGGTTATACGACCGTTTCAATACTCGTAAATTAATGATTGAAGTAGATAGCACTCTTTCCGAATCAAAATGTTAGAAGTGGTGGTGGCTTTTTACCGGTTTTATATAAAACTCATATCTCCCTATCCATATCGACCATCAGCTTGATCCTCGAAGTTGGTGCGTGATAGTAATCTCATTGGGGCAGTTTAATATGCTGCAACGGCTTTTGAATTAATAAGATGATAAGCTATGAAGAAAGGCTATTCGTTTTTAAAACACCTAAAGTTACTAGACTAAACGATTATTTCCTTAATAAAATATAAACACTGCGTTTTTCCATTGCTCTCTCACATTTTTTTTGCGTTGTACAGGGTGTCACAAACTCGATAGTATGGGCCTACTGTGAGGATACAAAAAATTTAAATAAAATTTGAGACACGTAGTGTTAAATGGGATGAGGTAAGGTCCATTTTCAATCGAAAACATTATCTTTGGGATTTGACAGAAGCGAGTAATGACATCATCAATTATACAGGGTCAACTATTACTTAGTACATAAATTTTAACCACGCGCTCAGGAAGGCATAAAAGGTAATAAAAAAATTATTTCGGAATATTAGCTCGATGTTTAAAAATGGGGCAAAACCCCCTTTGTTCCCGGTAAATCGCCGATTATGAACCGTCAACATAATTTCACTCAGCTGTTCAGCAATATTTAGCGGCGTTGACATGTTGCCATTGTAGAAACGACAGAAATAAACATTTTTTATTAATACCTACTTGATAGATGTTAATCCAGATCGTTGCAGAATTTTACATTTGCTCTTAGTTCCGTTGTTGCATACTATCAAAACAACATTTTTGCAGATCCGTTAGGACTACACAGTAACAATAAAACACCACCACGCACAATTAATTAAAATGTCCATTGAAGTCAATCGGAATTTACCGAAAGGAATAATAATTGGAAAATCACCCGCGTCCTTAATTTGATGTCCGATATCCGTAGCGGAATTGGCATTCGACTCTCCAAAAACATCGTAAACAACTGGCCCTTTAGATTTGTTCACATCGCATGTTCTTCACGTACATCTTAATTAATATTGAATTTATTTACTGGGACACTGGAAAACGTATGTGTAATTGCATACATTACAGTGCCTTGATAACTGTAGTGTACGTAAACATAACCTGAAAATCGCGAGACACAAGTTGATCTAGTGGCCTGGATACGTACTGCTGAATTATTACAGAAAACTGTAAATACCTCGGGGACTTACAGCTTAAAATAATAGGTACTAATTATTTTATGCGAACATCGACGGTTTTGTGTTTTTATTACAAATATTACCATTTAATTCCCGAATAACAAAAGAATTTTAAAAACGAGATGTCTGAAGTGCACCTTACCCTACTTACCTAGAGATGGGGCTGTTTCAAATTTTCAATAGGTGACTTTACGACTCTATTTTCACAGAACAAATAGCTGTTGAGTTCAAATAATTTGTCGCTTTGTCGGTGTTTGTGTTTTTGTTCACGTACTTACGTTTAGTAAGTAATTATTTGTGTTTACTATTATTTATTAGTGTAAAACTCTACAAGGATGTTGAAAACGAATTTTGTAAATAAAAGTTTTTCATCAAATGCGCGGATAATCGATACACGTGGCAACGCGGCGCTGTTTCACTACCGTTGCGTATGCGAAATTCGCAACTCGCGTCTAACGGACGGTCATAGCCGCCGTTAAATAGGGGTTTCACTGAGATTTAGAAAACAAATATTTTCAGCTTTAAAAACAATTTTGGAAATTTTTTGAAGGTCGATTCTGTTAAATCTTATTTTTCTCTATCCTCACTTAAAGTTTATGTATAAATAACCCTGTATGTTTTCCAGAGACGTACCTAAATCTTTCCTGTTAAAAAGCACTCTTTTTCTAATAAACTTTTCTGTCCTGTTTAAAAGTTATAAGCAATATCCTCCTAAAGAGTCTCAAAAGAAATACCATCTAAAAATCACATTAGCTGTGGAAGGATCAAGTAGTTGTTGGAAAATAATTGAATGTCCGTTGTTTAATGTGCATAAATGTCATTAAGAATAAATAAAAGAATTAAATTCGATAATTCTTTAATACAGTTAAAACAAAAGGTGATGATAACAATAACTAAGCTTAAAAAATGAGGCAAACGCTTTCATACTACATAGATATCTATTCTCTATATGACTTCCTCTCATTTCAAGAAACATATCCAATTTTCGCCTGATTTTATTTGTGGGCTGCGTTTATTAACATTTCGTCGTTTAACTCATTTGTGATATTTTCTTCCAAATGATTAATATCTCGCGAAGGTGTTTTATAACCTTATTTTTTAAAACCACCCATAAAAAAATCGAGGGGTGTTAGATCTGGTGACTTTCCTGGCCATTGAATAGGTCCATTAAGCCCAATCCATTTTCCTGAGAAAGTGTTATCTAAATATTGATGCATAATCCTGGCCTTGTGGGGTGGAGCCCCGACGTGCTGAAACCATAGGTTTCTCCTTAGCTGCAAAGGCTCATTCTCCAGAAGTTTTTCTTGTAGGGAATTTAGGTAACTCACGCTGTTCAATGTATGTTCATAAAAATAAGGCTCAATTAAATGCCTACCGATGATGCCGCACCATACATTTACTCCAAAATGGCCTTGGTTTTGGACTGGACTTACAATGTGGGGATTTTCAATGGACCAGTAGTGTTTGTTGCGACTGTTTAGCAGACCATTACTGACAATCCGACTTTCGTCCATCCAAAGAACGTGCCGAAAAAGGTTCAGATCAACAGTTTCTACATTTACTACAATTTGAGCTATAAAATTAAGTCTGTTTTCAATGTGACGATCAGGCAAATACTCCAGATGGTGAATTTTGTAGTCATGATTGGTCTTTAAAATTCGTTGAATGGTTGATTTATCCAAATTCAGTTCCTGGCTATCCTGCCGTATAGAATTTCGTGGATTTTGTTCGAAATACTGTAACAGTCTAGCTGTATTAACATTGTTTCTTACCCTTCGGTCAATTATTTGATTTTTCCGTACAGAAAATGCATCTTCATGTCGTCGCAAGGTCGCCTCCTGTAAAGGTTCTATGATCAGGAATGAAGCGCTCTGGATCTTTCTGGATATGACTCTACAGCTCTTCTTCATTTTTTTTTGTGACTCATCGTAAATTAGCAACATATCAACTTTTTATGAACATTTTGTAAGCACAAAAGTTATACTTTTATCGTTCGTATTTAGTAATGACAAGTATTTTGTAACATTTATGCACTTTAAACAACATTCAATTCAATTATTTTCTAACGAGTACTTGATCTTTCCACCGCTAATGTGATTTTTAGGCTCTTTAGGACGATATTGCTTATAACTTTTAAACGGGACAGAAAAATTTCTCTAATAAAAGTTTATTAGAAAAAAGAGCTTTTAACAGGAAAAAAAATTGGGTATGCTTCTGGAACAATTATAATTGATGACGTCATTAGTAGTTTCTGTCAAATCCCAAAGATAATACTTTCGATTGAAAATGGACCTTACCTCATCCCATTTAACACCACGTGTTCCAAATTTTACTTAAATTTTTTGTATCATTACAGTACTATCGAGTTTAAGACACCCTGTACCATACTATGTAGTGTTCTACTTCGATAAGTCTTTAAAAATCTTATTCACTATGTTGAAACATTAGTATTTGAGTATATTATACTTTCCATATTTATTGAGAAACAAACTGGATGGAACCCTCCTTTAAGAACTTGAGCAAATCATATCTAATAAAAAACGAATCGATACCACTGGTTAGTTATTATTCAAAATAAATCAATGTGAGAAAACTCAATGGGCAGGAATATTTTTTACAAAGATAATATATTTTTTAATACATTACATTTTTGGAATCGCTGGCTCCATTGATGGCTCAACTTTATTTACAAGTATTTACGCAAATCGCTATACATGAAGATGTACAATTAACTAAAGGCTTCTGTCAGTGGCTCCATGTGTTACCACCATGTCCATTAATTCATTGTCATTGTATTGATAGACCATCTGGTACGTTTATTCGAAATTTAATACAGACATTCTTCAGTAACTATCTTTTAATAGATAGATAATAAAAAAATGATATCTTGCAATAGAACTGAGGATATACACTTACAACTTATTAGAAGGACACATATCTTTTGTCTGTTTACGTTGATGAGAGGAATCAGTCCTAAAAATTCCTCATAATCTTCTAACAATTTTTAAAGTACGCGATAGTAGTTACTTATGTATGTGCAAATACCAAATAGAAATAAATAAATAAATAAATAAATAACATATCCTCTTTCAGATAACATTTGCGCCTCAAGAGAATGCCTAACATCCTCGTCCTTCGTTTTGGACATACTGGCCACAGACGTAGACCCTTGTGACAACTTCTATAATTTCACATGCAGAAATTATAAAGGACACCTTCTTATACATAATTTTCAGCAAGGTATTAACAAATTCGTTCGTGAATTCATTACAAGTCCAATCCAAGAGGGCGACTCTAGATCAATCAAACTTCAGAAAAAATATTACCACGCATGCATGAATGTAACTAGCATCGAGGAAGATCAAAATAAGACGCTGAAGAAATTTTATGAAGAGTTAGGTGGCTGGCCTCTATTGAAAGGTAGCACTTGGAAGGAAGAGGCGTTTGATTGGGGGAGAATTGTGGAAAAATCTAAAGATATCGGCTTCTATTACGATTGGTTCATAAACATTCAAAATTTTGAAGAAACTATCTATGAAAATAAACTATATGTATGTATTTGTACAGAAACTGTGGAAAGATATAGATCTTTTTAATTTTAGGTAACGTTCCCCGACAATGTAAATGAAATCGACAATACAGTGAAAGATAATTATGTAACATTGATGACCAATGTTGCAATAATATTGGGTGCTCCAGGAAATTTGTCAAATATAACGGAAAGCGTGAGCCGGGTGGTGGAATTTGAAATTGGTTTGTTGATGGTATACTAAACTTACATGCAGTGCATTTTAAAAAAATTATATAATATTTCCAAGGTTTTTTTCAGATTATACAAGATTTGATGCACAATGTAACATATGAGAAGTTTACAATGGATGACATAAAATATAAATATCCTAATATGCCGTGGCCTTCTTTATTTAAATATGTAATATTGCCTAAGAATGAGAAAATAATCTTCAATTTGCATTCATATATTCCCAAATTAGAAGCATATTTAAACGCAACTAATAAAAGGTACACGATTTAAATTACAATTCATATTTATAGAGATAGATATATTTTTATATCAAATTTTGGCATGTTTTGGTTTAATGAATTTTTTGCAGCTGTAACTGATAATATAGTTAAAACTATTGACGATGTCAGTACTAATCCTTCAATTAATTATTCTCTTAAAAAAATTTCCTCATTTTTCATGTCTCCTGTTGTTGAATCAGATGTGAGACAAGCTATCCTGGCACTTAAAAATTCAATGTGCTGTGACTATTACGGCTTTAATAGCCAAATGGTTAAGGAATCAGTCAGGATCCTTACTGGGCCATTAGCCTTGTTGTTTAATGGAATCTTGGAAGTGGGTGTGTGGCCAGATTCCTTTAAAATAGCGAAGATTTTCTATACACAAAAAAGGGAATACGGATTTATTAGACAATTACCGTCCTATAGCTATTGTTCCCTATTTCAGTAAAATTTTAGAAAAGATTTTGAGAGATAGACTTGTCTCCTTTTTTGAAAAACACCTTATCCTGACACCGTCTCAATTTGGTTTTAGGAAGAATTCTTCAACTATTAGAGCTTTACTAACTGTTGTTGAGGACGTAGTTGATGGCCTTGACCGTGGTCAAACAACGAACGCCACGTTTTGTGACTTGACCAAGGCCTATGACTGCGTCAATGTTGATGTACTTCTGAGTAAACTCGACCATTACGGTGTCCGAGGTTGAGCGTTGAAACTTTTTGGATCTTACTTATCAAATAGACGGAAATTTGTCAATATAAATAACTGTAATTCCGCTAAACTGCCCGTTGCGAATGGTGTGCCGCAGGGATCGGTGTTGAGGCCATTATTTTTCTTAATTTACATAAATGACTTGCCAATCAACATACGCATGTTATGTATAATGAAAATAATACACTTGCAATCACGCGACTGCAAGTGTATTATTTTTGCCGACGACACGACCCTTTTGACACGTGGCGGCGTGGATAGGAGTAGAGAGTGTCTATCTAAGGCTAAATCCTGGTTTTCTTCAAATAAACTTAAATTGAATTTTACTAAAACCCAACATTTGCATTTTACAGCTGATAGATTAGTTGATAGGTCTAATAATATGATATTACTGGGTATTACTTTAGATCCCGGTTTATCCTGGGCACCTCATGTCGACTCTCTCTGTTCTAAGTTTGCATCGCAGATTTTCGTTATGAGGCAGCTGAGGCCTTCGAGTGATGCAGTTATGAAAATTTTGTATTTTTCTCTTGTTCACAGTCACCTTAATTATGGAGTCCTGTTATGGGGTAACTCCGTTACTGCGCGGAAGGCATTTACTCTGCAGAAGGCGACAGTTCGCCTTGTAGCTGCAACCCACCGCCGGGCTTCGTGTAAAGATCTATTTAAGAGTTTAAAGATTATGCCTCTTCCAAGCCTGTATATTTTTGAAACGATGCTGCATGTACATAAGAATCTCCAAAATCTGGCCACTCACTCATCCATTCACGACCACAATAATAGACAGGCACTAAATCTTGTGGAGCCCTTTGCTAGAATTAATACTACTAAGAGAAACAAGGTCCAAATTCAGCTTTATATTAGATTAGGGAATCATTTTAAAAATTTTAAATTTAAGACGATGTCTCATAGAAGTTTCCACAAGTTCATTAAAATTTTTTATTAGAGCAATGTTTTTATAGTCTTGATGATTTTTATTTCTTTCGTTACTGTTTAATATCAATGTCCTCTTTTAGTGTAATAGTTGTGACAAAAAATGTACAGTTTTTGTATATGACAGTGTCAATAAAGCTTCTATTCTATTCTATATGTAGTTACAGGTTAAATCGGAAGAGTTTTGACTGTTGTTTGGTATATGAGAGCAGATAAATTAATATGAAATATGGCCAACTTAAATTATTATAATACCTACTCGTATAAAAAAACATTAATTAGATATTAAATCTGCATTCTAAATAAAAACTACTTATTTTAATTTGTCTAAATAACCATTACTACTACGAAAATCTGAAAGTTTTATTTTAGAGTTCAGGCTGATTACATTTTTTGGAAATTAACAGAATCATTCTCTACGTTGCTGACATACGCTATAAGAAAAGAATTTGAAAACTATGCGGACATCTCCAAACATTACCAATTTGCGAAAGAAAGAGAGAATTACTGTTATGGTATTACCAACACAGTGTAAGTACTTTCAAATATTTTTTCTATTCATGTAGGTACTTAAAATCAAGAATTTTCTCACAGCTTAGCTTAGGTGACAGTGATATTTTTCTCTCTAGAGATGACTAAGATTTTCGTCTCTAGAGACAAAAATAAAAATGTCAAATTTATGATTGTCCTAATTAAAACATGAACTAAAGAAATTCTGTTAACGAAAAATATCTGAAAACTAAGTTGACAACATTTCACATGGCATGTTTTCTATGTTAAACCAACAACAAAGTGTTCTTTGGAAATAATTCACAGTATATGTTGAGAGATCTTGTGGCAGAAGATATTGATCATTCTATACAGTAGTATATACAGCTGTGTTCTAATTTCTGTAAAGCTATTTAAAAATAGTAAAATTTTCTAATTGGATATTTCAACAGATTTGCTTATGTCTCAGAAGCAGAATTTGTCAGGAAATATGCAGTCGAAAAGAAATCTATTAAAGAAATGGTGACTCGTATAGCACAAGTGTTACGTAAGCATATAGAAAAAGTTACATGGATGAGTGAAGCTGTTAAACATGTTACTTATGATAAAATCAATAACATGACTATTGTTATTGGAGGACCAGACAAAATGTACCATGAAGAAGAGTTTGACAAATTTTTAGGCATTGCTGAGGTAAGGAAATTGTAGTACTAACTATGGTAAACAACTTAGATAAATATTTATTCAGGATGTTGCACGATGTACTGGACAATTTTAAGAAGTGAGTCCTTGAAGTCATTCTGAATAAAAAAGTTATAATACATATACATGGGTTCAATTCTCCATGGTTATCGCGCTTTAAAGTAGAGTAATAATGTTTTAATATTAATCTTGTTAGCTGTGTACATGTTAGTTGACTAAACTGTGTGAACGTGTTTCTAGTAATACCTTTTCTGGCAATATGCCTATATGTTTCAAACGAAGAGTATGTCGACATAGTTTACATTAACGGATTTTGCGATGAAAATTCGCGAGCTGCCCGTAGAGAGTATCGACGACGATTTCCATACAGAGAAGTGTCAAATAGTGAAACATTTGATTCTGCCTTTCGACATCTGCGAACGCATGGTTCATTTCCAACAATGTCAACTAACTATGAACGTCCTGAGCAGCAAAATTCGAATAAGTAAGAAAACATTTTGCAAATAATTGAAGACAGTCCAGAATTAAGTACCAGGAGCATCATTACATAGCACTATTGTATCCTTATCATGTGAAACAAGTTCAGCATCTGGAACCGCATGATATTAAAATAGGTGGATAGGACGTGGAGGACCACATTCTTTGTCCACAGAGATCACCAGATGTTAATCGTTTAGACTATTACTAGTATTATTTGTGGGGCCATCTTAAAAATTTAGTATACAAGACACCAATTAATAGTGGAGCCTAGGCATATAAAACAGCCACACAAAAAAAATCGACTTTCGGGCCCAGAGGTTAGACCATGCTTTTTATACATTTTTTGGGTCGCTGAATCCGAATCCGAGGTCCATTTAATCTCATCACCTCAGGATTTTTCATAACGTCAAAAAAAAAACGATATTGTGAACAATTAGACCATATAACCTTAACCAATTAACCAAATCCCATAAACATTTAGCCCAATGATATCCCAACCTAATAAGCCCATGAACCCAAACCCCAATTCGGATAACTGTCAGAAAATGAGGAATAACACGGGGGTGTTATTTTTGTTTTGTTGTCATTTTGTTAATGTTGTTCCTGACAATCAAACAGTAAAAGTTTAAAATCTGTGTACATGTATGCTTATTTCTAAACTTTAAAGGACCATGGAGGATTGAACCCATGTATATTACAACATTTTTACTCGGCATGACCTCAGGAACTTGTTCCTTAAGTGTGTCCAGTACGTCATGCAACACCCTGTACTCATATGTCAAATATGCTGTCTGGATTTCTCGTTAAAAATCGCTGAGAGCGCACCGTCGTTTGCCCAATATACCTACTCATATGGAAGCTATATAAACATTATGTAATGTATATTTTAGATCAATCTATCTGATCTTCACAACACCATCGAAATAGTATGCGAAGTGGACAGAAGTAGAGATATGTTCAACCTTGACTTCAGAAAACCAATACTGAATATCAAGGAAGCCCAGTTGTATCAAGGTGTCACCAACTTAGGGTTTATAAAATATATGCCTGGTGAAAATATAATGTGTAAGTTATATCTTTACTTTTTGAATTGCGATCATAAATACATTTAGTTTTTCGTTAGTTTTACCTGCTGCAGCTTTAGACGGTATATTTTACTCATCAAGCAGACAGAATTACTTGAATTATGGAGTAATTGGTACGATTATAGGACATGAATTAGGGCATGGTTTCGGACTACTGGCAACTTTAAGTTCAGAGACAATATTGCAAAAAAATGATTCGTTGGAAGAATTCTTTGAGGCTGCAAACTGCTTAATAGAAGACTGCAATAATATTGGCATTGAAAATGTAATCAATGTGAGTAATTTTTTTTTCTGTAGAACTTAAATAAAATTAATTATGATTTGAATTAATTTTTTTGATTCCAGATGGATTGCAAGGAAACATTCGAAGAAAATTTCGCAGATTATGTAGGAATTAATCTTTCATACGAGGCTTACATAGATCTGGAAAGGAACCATGGAATGGAAAGCAGTTTACCGGGGTTGAATTATAATTCAAAACAACTTTTCTGGATAATATATTCTTCCATAATGTGTAATAATGTAGATGTAAATAATGCAGAAGGTTTTATCCATATGTTACCATTTCAACGAATTCTAGGTGCCTTTAGAAATTCAGAACACTTTGCCATGGATTTTAATTGTCCTATTGGAAGTAATATGAATCCAAAAGATAAGTGTAAAGTGTTGTAATTTATATGCAAATAAAAATGTTGAATACTGTTGAGCCTTTTCTTGTGATATAGGTATATTTTACATAACATGTATATAACAAAAATTAAGTCTTACTAAAATATTTAGTGTCATTTATTATTCATTACTCTGCAAATTATTAAAATTATTTAATTTATTAAAAACTGTTAAAATGTTTAACTGTTCTAATTTGATATAAATATTTTGTTCTATTTTAATATCAATAGGTGCAGGTAATTTATTAACTATATTAGCTATATCCACCATGTAGTAAATTCGTAGGCTTTTTATAATTAAGCATCTTTTTGGCATAGCAAACATCAAATCGCTTCATTCAAATGAAAAATTTTCAAATTTAATACGAGTAAATGCCATCAGAATATTAATAAGCTAAGAAACACAAGTTTTTGTATAGTATACAGGAGGTTGGAAACTAATATCATATTAGATAATATTTTGTTTGTAAAAATATGAAAAAAAACTACTTTTGATATTTTAAACTTATAAATAAATACGTGAATATGAAAAAATGTAGATAGAAAACTAAATAAGTATGACTTTTCCCCGTGGAACACTGTATATTTTTACATAATTGAAGTCTAAGCAACATCTACTGCATAGGACAATTTGCACAAGAAAATGTCTTATAGAAAGAGATGTACTGACACTGTAGAAGAGAAGAAGATCTTGCATTACAACTCTTAGCATGTAAAGGAGGTTTCCTATATGAGCCCTAGGTACATTTCATTGTTAGTTAAAGAAAATGGATAATAAACTGCTGTGGTTATTACGTAACGAAATTTCTTACGGAACTATGCCCTTAAAGTAATTAACAAATAAATTGTTACAATATCATCAGTTTTGGAAATCCACTACTAGTTTTATTAAAAAAAAAAAAATCAAATTGGAAACATGTTTTTAAATCGTGGAATCTTATTTTCAATGTAACCATTGATCAATTTCTAAAATCATGAGACAAAAGTCACTTTAATCTATTTCTTAAAAGGTTAAATCACCGTTATTTGGATATGTTTCTCATTTTTATTGTACATACTATCTTTTTTATTTTATTAATTTTATTTAATCTATATATCTAATCTCTATGTTTAATGTCTTTAATAATTTGAAGTAAACTATGCAATGAGGATGAAAATATTTTCATCCAAATTGTAGTGATTGAATCGGTATTAAATAAATCGTTTCTTGCAAATCGTTATACAGGCGCACAAAAAAAAAGAAAAGTGGTCTGTTCCAAAAACTAGACCTATGTATCCTTATGTATTCTGACGCGCTAAATTCGAATCCCATCACTTCCCAGTGTTTTTTAAATCGCGAAAAACCGCTCTTAAATAGAGAAAATATGGGAAATTCTATTTTTCAAAACTTGAAGCAGTCCAACCTCATTTTTCATTCCCACTAGTAGATTAGCATTTTTGATAATGAGAATTCCACCCTCACTGTTGGACAGCAATCAGGATTTACAAAAAATCCGTTCCTTAGGTCTGTGGGATAGTAGAGACATAAAGAATCACTATGAACAAAAAGTATGGCCAAAAAGAACATATTTCCATACAAGATTCAAAAACATCATCCGCGAACCTTTAGTTGATTCTTTAAATATTCTGCTTCCACCTCTTCATATCAAAGTTGGTCTCATGAAACAGTTCATTAAAGCTTTGGAAAAGGATGGCGACTGTTTTGGATATTTAAGGGTTTCCGGAAATAAGTGATGCTAGACCGGGAGAAGGTATTTTCGATGGTCCTCAAATCCGTAGCGTGTTCAGAGACGAGAAATTTATCACAAACATGAATGATACTGAAAGAGCAGCATGGCTGAGTTTCAAGAAAGTCGCTCAGAATTTCTTGAGGAATTAGAAGAGCGAGAATTACCAGACTTTTGTTGAGAAATTGTTGGAAAACTTCAAACCAGAGAACCTCGGAGACTACAGCGAAGAACAGGGTGATCTGTTTCACATGGTAACATGAAAATTGAGCGTCGGTACCAAGGAAGGTGGGATGTTAATATGATATCAGATTTCTGTTGGATGCTTAAAAGGTATAACGAGCCAAAATCATAGAAAAGCGCGGGAAATCTGTTGCATAAATTTTTTGAAGATAAAAAAAAAAGAGGTCGTCAGAAAATGAAAAAGAAGTAAAATAAACATCATTTCTTATTTGGAAACGATGTTCACATTTTCTAATACCCTCACCTCTCTGTAGGTACCAAATGGCTGTCTATCTATCCCTGAGAAGGAATTTCCTAGATTTTAGGGTTATTTTGCACGGTATAAAAATACTGGAGGGTGATAAAGTGGTTTCTCTTTTTACAATTGTTTCAAATGCTATGCCCCCTGGAGTGGAATTTTCTTTTACTGGATTATTAAAATATAATCCAGTAAAGACGTCATTTTATAAATAAAAATTCCAAACAGGCTAATTTTTTAGTGTTGCTTGGGGACTGCCTCCTGAGTATCCAACCAAAAGATCAAACTCGAACTGCTGGCTGGTATGAATTGCACTTTGGGGGTGGTTTATTAAACATTTTTTTAGAGCAAAATGACTTTAATAAAAGTTGTAGAGGATCAAATTCTGAACAAGTTTTCCATATAAAATTTTTTTGTATGTGACAAAAATTGAGCACGCTGGTCTTGTAAACATGTTTTTAGAAAAAAAATGTATAAGGAAAAATTATTCAGAATTTGATTGTCTACAACTTTTCTGAAGGTCATTTTTTTGTAAAAACATGTTTATAAGACCACATAATGCGCAGTAACTCGTTAAGTATTAGACATATATTTAAGAGCGGTTTTTCGCGATTTTGGAATAATGGGGGGTGGTGGAGCAATTCTGGCCCCGAAATTTGATTTTTTGTTATTCAAATAATAATAATTATTTGCGAAACTTATTAATTCAGGTACTTTAAAAAGGCAAAATAATATTCTCGAAAATATGATATGCACTTGAAACGCCCTGTATATTTTGACCACTTACACAAAGATAAATAAGACAGTGCACTGTCTATTAACCAGATCAAACCAGCGAACCTACGGCGTTAGATCACTCTTAATTGATCTTATTAATTAGAGTCAAGTAGTGTGCCTAAGATATAATTTGGAGGCGAGCCATTCTTAAATACCTCACAGAAATGGGACTCTGTGGTAATTGCCTATTTAAAATTTAAAACAGTTTAGATGGAATTACGACGGTTTGTGACTGTCTCCGTTAATGTCGAACATGAGGTGTGAAATTTAGTCAACGCATTGCGATGGAGTGTGGAAACTTTCTCAAGAAAAACACAAAATTAGAGAAAAGACTTATTTTGTCTGTCGTGGTGTTGTGTGGCGTTGCTCTAATTCTTCTTATTATTTTGCTCTGTAGAAACGGTAAGTGATTTATGAGCTATGGAATAGTTATATTTATTATAAACAATTATGTTCAAGTCAACTAATGATAATATATTTCGCGTGATAAATACGCCGCAACTGGTTTTTCATATATAATTTACATAAATCAAATAAATAATAAATTTATAATATGGCAATTATGCAAAAATATAAATCATTTTCTAACAAATACTTTCTTGTTAACGTTTTAAATTGAATTAAATTAAATGTCCGCATCTAACAAATAAGTTTCGATACGTTTTAGGAAGATTATATTTCGTAGAATTCAAAATTGCTTGTTCTGCAACGGAAAATAAAAAAGGGGTACAGTGAATATAACACATATGAGTGCATGAAATCTATATGAGCTATTTTCCAAAAACACAAAAAATAACCTTAAAAAAACTCACATTAAAAAGAGTACATTAAAGGGTACATGTTAATTAGTAACTATTGCATGTCTACATACTCCGTTCTGCATCTATCGTAACCTTTTATAATATACAGTGAGTTCAATAAAGTTGACACACTATTTCAACAACAAACTTTATTAAAAATAAATAGACAAGTTCAAAACAAATTTGATAAATGTGAGTTTTCCATTGTAACTTATTTTAGACTTTACACCTCATCTTCCCTTGTAAGAACTGAAAATGAGGTGTAAAGTTTGACCTCGAAACCGGTAATCTTTTTTAAAAATAGAAGGATTGTGAGAAATTGGACCCTTTCTTATTTCTAAAATAAATTACAATAAATAAACAATTTATGATGAAGGAAATGTGATAGAAGTAATCATGAGTATCTCTTGCTGTATCCTTTTACTTATTTGGTAGAATGTTTTTTGGATTTATAAATTTAATTTGGATTAAGTTAGGTCAGGTTAGGGTGGGTCAAAGCTATATATTTACTGATTCGTTTGACCCAAAGCTATTGTTATTGTAATTGTAAAAATCTATATTATCTAAATATTTCTACTTATATACTCTATAAAAAAATGTCTACTATACTATATGAAATATAGCAATTTGCGGCCATTCGATTGACTGCATTCTTTTAGCCTTGAATGTCAAATTTGACATCAACAGTATTTACCTATTCTAAAAGAACATCATGTATATGCATAATATTTCGAATATAATTTAAAAAAAATGAAAATTAACTAAAAGTTGCTGATAAAATACGCAAATTTATTTATTTTTATTTATACCTACCTGTTTATTTATTTAAGACGAGCACGCCTATGACTAGCCGACGAAAACCCCGAACTCTAATAATAACGACATTCTTCTTTTGCAATTTCCCGAAGTGCTGTTTTTTGTACAGACATTTGAGAAAAAGAAGGGAAACTTGTGATAAAATTTTTTGCTTTCTGAATTTTCGCTGAAGTACTTATTAATAAATCATCCATCCCACTGGATCATTGTGAGCATTGTCACTTAATGCCTCCATTTACGTTAGGAACCATATTGGACAATTTCTTCCATTTTATTAACAACACTGTGGGAATTTATTTCAATTTTTTCTATTCCCGTAATCAACAGGAAAAGATGTGAAGTTTTAATTTACCGAGAAACTAGAGACGATAACATTTAATATTTATTCAATGGTACCATTGTACGTATTATAATAAATATATACATGATGTGCCATTTATCCTTAAAAAATTGCGTTCTTTCTCAATCTCGCTCAGCTCCAATTGCGTCAGAAAAACATACGTATTTATTTCGGTCTATACATAAATAAATATTAAGAAAAACGTGGCTGAGGACAGTTTGAAGGATCTAATTGAAAAAAGAAATAGTAAAACTCAAAACTTCTTAAACATCCGAACGATTTAGCTGTTTGCTCACAGAAAACGGTAGTATTAAATTTAAAAATAAACATGGCAACAAAAATTTTAATTGTCACAGGAACTGTAAATAAAAATAAATAAAACATAAATAATAATTTCACTCGATTTGCTGTCATCACAATTGATTTTTGCCCTAAAAGTTGGTAGTTTTAAAAGGTCCTTACTGAAATTGGTTTTCGGTGAAGTACGCTGAAATTTTATTAAAAGGTAGGTTTCAGCGAGTAGAACAGAAATTCTTTACCACTGGAGGTAAAAATTCACATAAAAATTGCATGTTAATAGGGGAAATATCTTGAAATCTATTATTATTATTATTATCTTTATCCAAAATTTCAGCGAATTTGACAGAAAGTCAATGTTCATAAGGAACCTGCAGGATTTTTTTACTAACAAATTGGACAATACCTGGAATAATTTATTGGGCACAAAATATTTAATATAAAACGCCTGTACGTTTATAATGAGAACAGTTAAATTAAGTTAAACAATATGGTGAATGCAAAAAGAAACGAAATTAGATAACCAGGCGACATATGTGCCCTATTAAATTGTGTTTCTCAATAAAGAAACTATTACATGACCACAATTAAGTGTTTTTTTTATCACATACATTTTTTCCCATACATTAGCATAATAAACCAAGATATGGCGCAATGTCTAGACAGTCTAGACATTCGAAAAGCTTTTAATAAGTCTACAATAGTGGCGAAATTAAGATGAAAAAATGCGTCGCTTGTACACCTACAGAAAAATGTACAAAGATGTATTTTAGCATTGACAACTATTTTATAAACATAGAATGGTGACAAAATATGCGTATATGCTAATTAATTTAAATAATGCTATAGATAAAAAATGTTCGGATTAGGCAGATTTTACGGTTAAATGATGTAAACTTAAATTGATTGCTAACGGAATTAAAAAACATTCAAGGTTTACAAAATAACAATAAATCAGCACCATAATTCTAAATTTTACTATCTTTAATTGCCACATTATTATTTTTTAAACCTGTTTGTCACGTAGTGCTCAGAATTGCGTTTAAAAATTCTGTAAAAAGAGATATTTATACTTATAAACAGGAGTCCCGAAAGTATGACTTAAAAACATTGAAATAATGGCGAATTCCCGATCCCTGCAGACTTTTCTTTAAGCAATGAATTAGTTTAAATTGTCGGGGACAAATTTTAAGAACGCATTTTGTGGCTACTTTCTATGGCAAACAATTATTAATGAAAACATAAAAAAACACATTTTTATTGGCCACGGCTGACACTTGCGCTAGTGAACTTTATATTCCCTGATTTTGATAAATGGATGCAGGACTAATTGAGTTCTTTAATAAAGAATAATTTGCTTAATAATTTCATATCCAAAAAATGTAGCTCAGCTCACACTTACACTTCTCTAGAAGAATTTGCTCTTTTCACCTATTTGTTTGTTAGATTATTATACAATGATAAAAATAGAGGAAAGTTACATAGATTTTTTACATATTTAGAACGGTTTTTCTATAGGTATAGAAAATATAAGTTAACTAAATAAACATAGTGCGTTGTGCAGAATTACTAGTTTGGGCGTACCTATATTTTCTTTTTACAATATATTGTTACTGTTTACGTTGTCCTGTTACACTTCAAAATGTATTAGACGCCTAATCTTTTATGTGTTTATTGTGTTTGATTTAAACATACGCGTTTCGGCTCAACCATTCTGATTAATCACGTCGGTATCTCGTTACCTCTTTTGAAAATTTTTTTTTTATCGAAACCCATAATTATGACTTGTAGAGAATACTGCAGTTTCCAAAATCCTGCTTGGATTTTCTGTACGTTCATTATTTTCCGAGTAATTGATTGGTAAAGTCAAAAATTATTTTTTTGCTTTAATCGACGATAACTCAGCGACAAATAATCGTACAAGGCTCCGGAACCACTCAAATTGAAGAGAATTAAATTATCCTAAAAGAGCTTTATGATTAAATTTCCAAAAAAATTTTTTGAAGTCCATAGGCCCTTTTCAAAAAAGCAAAAATTTGCTATTTTTTTTCCGTTGATATTTTCTTATGATTACTCAATAACTACTGGCGCTAAAAAAATTTTTAACTGTAGATCTGAAAACTAGACACCTGAAGCTTCAATTTCCTTTTTTTTAATTCTCTTTACGACCATTTTCCTCCAAGTTACAACTCTTTGAAAATCACCTAAAATTTTGGGATTCTTTTAATATCCCTTAATATTAAGATGATGATTTAATGATAATGATTATTATTTATTATTATTATTATTATTATGATAATAATTAATGATTTACCGAATAGCATATCTTGTAATAATCTTCTTTTTGCAGATGATTTAAAGATTTTTACAAGTATTGAGAATGAGGAAAATTATAGATATTTGCAGAATCAAGCCAACTTAATTGGCAAATGGTGTAATTCAAATCGTTTAATGTTAAATATAAACAAATGTTATGTAGTATCATTTTCCAGGAAAAAACAAATTAATAATTATGATTATACACTTAATGATATTACAATCTCAAGTGATTGCATAAAAGATTTAGGCATCTTCTTTAACTCTAATCTTACCTTTGCTACTCAGGTTAATCATTTAGTTAGTAATGCCAATAGGACTTTAGGTTTTATATTAAGGAACTGCAAAGATTTTAGAAATATTAGCACCTTAAAAATTTTGTATTATATCTTGGTTAGGAGTAAGCTTGAGTACGGATCAATTATTTGGTTCCCAATTTATCAGTGTCACATTGATAGTATAGAATCTGTTCAGAGGCGGTTTTTAAAATACATTTATTTTAAGGAAAATGGCATCTATCCCGCCAGTGATATTGATAATCAAATATTATTGAACAGATTTGATACTATTTCTCTTGGTCGGCGACGGATATGGTAAATTATATCATTTTTGTATAATTTAATCCATAACATAAATTGTAGTAGTCTCCTTAGTAAGATACAATTTTTAGTACCGCGTGCTGGTTCAAGATAAAACCAAACTTTCTACTGTGATAGGCCTAGAACTAATATTTTACTTAAAGCACCTATTTATAATGCATATTATCAATTTAATAAAATCTGTAATTACTGTGATATTAATTTTTCATCACTAAATACAATAAAACACGTTATTTACAACAACGAGCAATTCTAGATATACCTAGTTAATCAAATTTATTTTTTTTTTCAACTTTTCTCTTATACAGAATAGATTTTGTCAAAATAAACTCAGTGGTTTTGTTATGATTATAAGTGTAACTGTTCTCTATTATTATTTTTCATTTGCTATGTATTTCCTGTAATTGGGTTTACCTGGAAATAAATGACATTATTATTATTATTATTATTATTATTATTATTATTATTATTATTATTATTATTATTATCTGTGCCTATATAGTGTAGGTATATACAGTGTGTCCCTGAAAAGGATGGACAACGCTTGACCACAGGTTCCTTGGATGAAAATAAGACTGTTTAGCCTAACTTACCTATATACAAAAGTGCACGCCTACTGAGATATAGCCTTCTAAATATAGAATAGATAACCTAGTTTTTTTCAAATAATTTGAAAACTAGTTTTCTTAGAAACTTCAAATTTGGTACACTTATTTTTTTAAGTTCAACGTAAATAAAAAATTTGGTGATACATATACAGGATGTTCTATTTCTAGTGCCTGTGCGCCACTGGCTATCCCACTATTTTAGAAAATTTTTTTGCTCTTACAAAATTTCGATATCGTTTATGGATTTCGAGTAAAATTGGCATTTTTATACATTAAATATAGGCATATATTCCGATTTGTAAAAAATAATAATTTATAACTGCAGCCTCAAAGCACGGAATATTAATGAAAAAACATTAAAAAAAATAACCTTACATTTTTTGTCTTAGTATTATCAATCAATAAAATAAAAATCAACATTATTTTAAATAAACAATATCAACTAATAATGTAAGAAAGTCAACATTAACATTTTAAATAAACCTAAATTTATATTTGTAATCACATTAAAATAATATTACAGTAAATGCTCAAAGTGACTTCCTTGTTCTTAAACGCAAGTATTAGTTCTTCGAAAATTAAAATGAATTTTATCCAATAATTGTGCATTACCTCTAATAAATAACATTAATTTCATGTTGTATTCTTTCCCATTATTCGTTTTCTGTATTTACTGAAAAGTTATAAACTGTGGTCCTCGACGCTTTTCAAAGTAAATAATTACATGGGTTTAAATCCGGGGATCGAGGTGGCCAAACTATTTGAAAAAAACTAGGTTATCTGTTCTATATTTAGAAGGCTATATCTCAGTAGGCGTGCATTTTTGTATATAGGTAAGTTAAGCTAAACAGTCTTATTTTCGTTCAAGAAACCTGTGGTCAAGCGTTGTCCATCCTTCTCAGGGCCACCCTGTATAATAAATAGATTTTTCGACCTTCTTAAAAATACTATGTAGTTTCCCTGTTTTTAGTAAAATTACACTTTACGTATCGTAATACAGATGTGTATGATCCAATGAATAATTTTACATTGAATTTTTATGAGTAGGTATATCTAGACGGATTTAAATATATTTTTTTATTATGAACTAAATAAAAACTAGCAAATTATTAAAAATTGCTAACATTTACAAAATTTCAAAAGGTTTTTGTATTTTTTTTTCTAGATCAACAAATTTGCGACAGTCCCGAATGCGTTCAAGCAGCTACTCATATTTTAGACACGGTGGACCCCACTGTCAACCCTTGTGAGGACTTTTACAAATTTGCCTGTGGTACATTTTTGAAAAATGCAGTTTCACTGGGACAACCAACTACACTGCATCACCTCAGAACACTGATGAAGAATAAACTGAAGGAGATAGTGACAGAAAAAGAAGACACAAACGTTTCAAGAGCTCTGCAAATGCAGAGGAGTTTTTATAGGGCCTGCATAAATGACACGAACATCGATGCAGACAATGATAGGATGCTTTTAAATTTACTAGATGAAGTCATTGGCGGATGGCCGGTACTTAAGGAAGGAAACTGGAGTGCTAAAGACTTTAAATGGCTAGATGTCATGATCAAAGCAAGACAGCTAGGACTTTTTTATCAATTTTTCTTCAGAGTCAGCATTTTTAGTGGAAATGACAGTATAAATACGATATGGGTAATTATGAGAAAATTGTACTTACTTAGAAAAGAGTTGTTTGTAATTTATATAAAAATTGATGTTCGTTCAGTACCAACTTCTGTTTACAATTTACTTTCGTTTGTTTAGTGTATAAATATTTCAGTCAGTAACTATTAAATTAAATAAAACAAGCGACTGTTAATCACGTAAATAATACAAAAACGTTTATTATAGATTAGACCCCCTGATGTGAAAGATATTGAATCATTTCAATGGAAACAGGAAAATCGGAACCTTATGGCCCAAATTGCATCAGATCTAGGAGCCACGAGTAGGGATACGTCTCTAGAAATAGGATATACCCTAAATTTTGCTGAAGAACTTCATATAGTACGCTCACAAATATTTATCATTAACTGTGATTATTTACAAGTTCCTTAAATTTGTTTCAGATAGTTCAAGAATACTACGATAATTCGAAGAACAATGAACAGTATAACAGAAGGCATAGTACTATAAAAGAGCTGAAACATAATCAGATAAATATACACTGGCTAGAATTTTTAAAAAACTTAACAGGTGTTGCAATAACAGAAGAGGATGTGGTTGTATTTGATGTGGATAGATACTTTGATAGGCTTAGTAGCCTGCTAACTAAGCCGTATAAGTAAATATTTGACGTTTTCATGAGATATAATATGATATGTAATCTAAAAAAGTCAACACAAAAAAAAAACTTAATTAATATTGTTATTGCTAATGCCACCCATATCCGTAATGATTTACATGCATAAATCAGCCTGTACAGACCTATCTCACGCGTGGATGGAAAATAGTATGGTTGTGTGCTATATGGACGAAATAATCGTAGCGATTTTTAATTACGGAGTTAAATCGTTACAATAAAGTATTAATAATAAAATTATTAATTACACAGACACAAAAAAAGTCCAAACCCAACAGACCCACATATTTTCCGAAATTCGAAGGAATTTTTTGCGCTTGTAGTCAAAATTCATGACTTGCCGATGAATATGGGTCAAAATAGATTTTTTCCTACATTTTGTCGAAATATATCATTTTCATAGTAGGTACTTCGTGCAGTTTTCACCCAAAAAGTGGATTGTCTCGAACTATAGCACCATATCGATTTTAGTGACACTAATGCAAAATGTTATAGATAATGTTTCTTCTTGAATTCAATTTAAACTTTCATTTATTTATCAAAAAGAATAAATTAATATACTTTAAATTTAAACTATAAATAGTTAGGTATACGATACACAGGGTGATTAATTAGCAATGGGAAAATCGAAAGCTACAGATACTACACGTGAAATAGTGACCTTTGGAGCAAACATGCCTTATCCGGAAGTTGATAGTTTCGGAAATACAGGGTGTTGAAAGTTAAAATTTTAAATCGTTTTTTTGCGATTATTCTGAAAATATGTAGGTTAGGAACTTGAAAATGTATGAAACTATGTTTTTTTTTAGGCGACGAATAAGGTGCGTGTTTAATTTCAGCATTGCTCATAGAGGGCGCCACTTACGACCAATTTTACCGAAAATTTAGTTAATAACTTTTTACCCTGTATGTCTAACATAAAACTTGATTCAAAACCTGAAAGAGCAATCATTTTTCCAAAAATTGTGTATTCTTGTTTCATTTCGGTATCTCGATCCGTTTTCGAGAAAAATCGATTTAACGAACGCTATGTTTTGATAATATGAGAAATTAAAAGCGAAACAAATCAAGTGTTTCTTCGTGTTATTACAACAATTAACAATAAAACAAATGAAATTCATAATAATGATTTAAAGTCAGTGTTCGAAGAATCCACCGTTGACATTTACACACTTTACACAACGTTTTCTGAGAGATCTTCGAATTTGAAACAACATATTGGGATTGCGTTTGACTTCGTTGGCAGCGATTTGTATTCTTTGCCACAACTCTTCACACGAACCAATCGATTCTTCCAAATAGAAAAATGAAGAGGATTGAGGTCCGGACTTCTGGGTGGCCAAGTAAAAATGCTTGCACTGCTTGAAGAAGTTCCACTTTATTTAAGAAGAGACATGTGGTTCATGTACGACGGAGCACCACTACATTTTTCTTGGCCAGTGCGTGCATATTTAGATGCAGTTTTTCTAAATCGCTGGATTGGCCATGTAAGCATTTTTTGCTTGGCCATCCAGAAATCCGGACTTCAATCCTCTTGATTTTTCTATTTAGTATCGAATGAAAGATATAGTTTACAAAGAATATATTGGCTCGTGTGAAGAGTTGTGGCAAAGAATACAAATCGCTGCCAACGAAGTCAGACGCAATCCCAATATGTTGTTTCAAACTCGAAGATCTCTCAGAAAACGTGTAAAGTGTATCAGTGTCAACGGTGGATTCTTCGAACAATTACTTTGAATCATAATTACGTATTTTATTTGTGTTATTGTTAATTGTTGTAATAACACGAAGAAACACTTGGTTTGTTTCGCTTTTACTTTCTCATATTATCAAAACATAGTGTTCGTTAAATCGATTTTTCTCGAAAACGGATCGAGATACCGAAATGAAACAAGAGTACATAATTAATGGAAAAATGATTGCTCTTTCAGGTTTTGAATCAGTTTCATGTTAAATATACAGGGTAAAAAGTTATTAACTAAATTTTCGGTAAAATTGGTCATAAGTGGCGCCCTCTATGAGCAATGCTGAGATTACAACACGCATCTTATTCGTCGCATAAAAAAATATAGTTTCACAAATTCGCAAAAGAACGATTTAAAACTTTAACTTTCAACACCCTGTATTTCCGAAACTATCAACTTTCGGATAAGGCATTTTTGCGCCAATGGTCACCATTTCACGTGTAGTATCTTCAGCTCTCGACTTTCCCCTTGTTAATGAATCACTCTGTATACATATAGGGTGTCTGTACTTCATGCAAAAAAGTCGAGTACAGATAGATGGTCAAAATAATATTAGTTCCTCATATAATTTTTTTCTCATACGGCCCTTCGTTAACAAGATACGGACCTTCAAAGGTGAAAATTAAAAAGTTTTTTTAATTACAGTCTCTACATTATTAACTTCAGCATGATGCAAATTTAGTGATCAATAACACATGCGTACAGCTTGTTTTTGATGTTGTAAGTGAAACTTAATTATGCCCAGAACGCCAGGGACGGACAATGCCCAATGGTAAACAGCCCAGAATTTTTGCATATATGACGATCGCAATCTGTCTGTATCAAAAATAATTTACCTGAAGCATTTGGCAAAGATAATACTGTTGGTTCAACTCGGTAAAATTAACAGTTTAGGAAATATTTGTGATTTTATGTCACAGTGCACATCGATCGGCGCCTCCACCATTTTTTGTTTTTAATTTTTAATTGCATTTAATTACTATGTTGAAAGCGTACATATTTTTAACATAAGAGTCGAGAAAATCTTACTGTTTGTTAATGTAATTTTCATTAACAGATAAACACACATAACACAAAATAGAAAAACAAAACAATAAGTTAAATTTAAAAAATAATTTAAAAGAAAGAAAACTATCAAAATACATTTTCAATATGGACACCTTCCACCTCCACACACATCCTAAGGCTATGATTGTTTGGTTCGTGCACGGGGGACTCCTCCCCAATTCAATATTGATGTACGAAATTATTTATCCATTGTGTTTAATAATAATAAATGGATTGGGAGAGGAAACCCAATTTTATGACCACCACGTTCTCCGTCAGGAAGATTAGTGTACGCAACCATAGTACAGACAAGGGATGAATTACTACAAAGAATTAATTTCACTTGTGATAATATTAGACATATCCCAGAAATGCTTTTTCGTGTACAAACAAATAACCTTCGTAGACTTCGGAAGTGTGTGGAGGTGGAAAGTGACCATACTGAAAATGTATTTTGATAGCCTTCTTTCTTTTAAATTATGTTTTTAACTTACTTTAAATTATTCTTGTTTTGTTTTTCTATTTTGTGTTATGTGTAAAGTGTATTTGTCAAATTTTGTTAGTGAAAATTACATTAACAGACAGTAAGATTTTCTATGCTCTTATTTAAAAAATATGTACAGTTCTAACATAGTAATTATGTCCAATTAAAAATTAGAAAACAAGAAATGGGGGAGGCGCCGCTCGATGTGCATTGTGACATAAAAGCGCAAATATTTCCTAAACTGTTAATTTTACCGAGTTGAACTAAGAGGGTATTATCGTCGGCCAATTCTTCAGGGAACTAATTTTTGATACAGGCATGTATCAATGTAAAAATTCTAGGATGTTAACCATTGGGCATAGTCCGTCCCTGGCGTTCTGGGCATAATGAAGTTTCACGTACGACATTAAAAAGAGGTTGTACACATGTGTTATCGATCACCAAATTTGCATCATGCTGAAGTTAATGGTTTAGAGACTGTAAATAAAAATAAATTTTTAATTTTCTTCTTTGAGGGCCCGTAACTTGTTAACGAAGGCCCATATGAAAAAAAATATATATATGAAGAACTGATATTATTTTGACCTCATCTATTTGTACTCGAATTTTTTGTATCAAGTATCGGGACACCCTGTATATAAACACTAATATTTTTGCAGAATTCAGGCCAATTATATGGCGTGGGTGATAATTTCAACAAACATTCAATACATGTCGAAGAATATTAGACAGAAATATATGAAGATGCGGAAAATAAACGAAACGGAATCAAGTCGAACCGATTTGTGCTACAAAATATCTAGAGAACTGTAAGTAAGAATGTGAAAACGATAAGTACCATGTATATTTCGTGGTTCTAAATTGGCAAGATCTAATTATGTGCGTGTGGGTGTGCTTGTGTGTGTTTGCGTGTGTGTCTGCTATTAATTAAATGCTTGATTCCTTTTTCCTATCCATAATTTTACTTTTCCGGTCTTTATACAATGCTCAAAATTTACATTCTTTATTCTCAAAATGTTTCTCACCATTCTATGCTTAAATCCTAATGTTATTGGTTTGATTGAACTCAAGTGTTGTTATTGTTTTTTTTATATTATTTATATATATATATATATATATATTAAGAGAGCAAGTTTGAGGTGGAGTTTTCCTTTTTGTTTTACTTATTTTACTTTTTTTTCTTTTTTTGTTTAATGTATATTATATAATTATACATATTGTGTTCTGATGGTTACAATTTGAACAGTTCACTGACCGCTGTGACACAAATTTCAAGATTGGACTTCTTGATGTATTTGTAAAGGCTGTCATAAATGTTTATGTTTTGGGTGGTCAGTAGATAGGGAATGTTGACTGGAAAAATTACCCCATTTTTTGATAATTCCTTATATAAACTGTCGCGATGTATCTTATACCGAGGACATTCTAGAAAGATATGTTGTAGGTCTC